AAGAAAAAGATGAAGGATCTGAATGATAACAAAATGGCAGTTATTGATATTGTTCATGACTACGTGTTTGGTGGTTGTTTCATTTCTTTATTGAGATACATTCTGGTTCTGAATCACATTTACTTTTTAGTTTATTATTCTTTAATTTTGTTTACTTGAAATAAGGTGACATTTTTCAAAGCAGTCTAGAAAACAAAAACCTGGTTCTCCATCACAAGTATTGTTCTGGTATTAGATACGTTTTCTCACTAGCAAAATGCGAAGATGAAACCATTCTCATACACAGCAGGAAAAAACATTTCTTGATCATCTGTGCTCATATTGGTCTAGATTTAACATACATCTCGAGCAATCACCTAATGTTCTATGTTTTCAACAAACGTGGCGAGCGTATAACATCATAATATCCCGCGATCAAAGTTGGTGCAAAAGTATGGGTTTGAACAAACGCAATCGCTTTGTAGCCTGACTAAAGAAAAAGGCAAAACATACACTAGAAGACTGAAAGTCCTTTGAACAGATCTATATCGAACAAATGAATTATTATGAGAGAAATACTGTCCTTCGAAATATTTTTATGTGTAAATTTTTCTTATGTTCTGCGCATATTTGATTATTCTTTAATAGAGTTTCTTCCTTTCTTTCATCCTCCTGCTGATCTTTATCTAACTTACGTAATGAATAAAAATCGCTGTGAATATAACCGTTTCAATTCTTGCCTATTTGCTCTAAGTCTATCTTTTTCTTTATTAGATCTTTGATGGTATGTCATTTATAAATGATACTGAATCAGATATTTCTATTGTTGTACGGTTCTTTCCTCTCTTCTGTATTTTATATAGCTACGGAACCATTATTGAAATGCACGAAAAAAAGAGAACAAGCAAGTTGGTTTTAGATACCACACGTAAACGACAATACGTAGAAACGTGATTTTAGCAGCACAGATAGATCATGATCGATAAATTTTGACAAATTTAATCCAACAAGGATAGTAATAGAGACAGTACTACTGATAATCGAAGAATACGATTGACACCAGATTCACTCACATATTCTTATAGATGTTAATTCTTGCTTGAAATCCAATGAAATTAAAATATAGAATTATTCTTGATAAGAAGAAAAGCCATTTAAAATTTTATTATTAGTAACAAATATTGGATTTAATATCATTAGAAAAACTTTTTGTTTGTCGAACTCTAATGTAGATATATTTCACATTAGATGAATGTTCCTCATTTTTTTAACTATTTCGATAGTAATAATCTATTCAAAATGATTTTTTTATTGTTTTTTTTTAGATTCATGTAAATATCGAATGTACAGAAAAAAAACTATTTTCATTATATATGCTTCACATCATTGATAGACACAAAATGAAAAATATTACGAAAATTTATTTATTATCTTCATTAACTTGTAAAATGTTGGATTTAGGTAATAGTATCTCATTGTTGACAAGATTGGTTGAACATGCAATTACTAATGATATATCGTTTATTATTATGTATATTTCGTTTTTTTTTTCTTGCTGCCATTTATTGATCTAATGTTCCTTATCTCTATCATTATTAAAATAAAAAAAATAAAAATAAAATGTAAAAATATAAAGTCTAATTAAAAAATGTGTCCAATAACGAAACAAAATCATTAAAAGTTAATCTATTATTCAGTCATTAAAGCTAAACAATGTTATCTGTAAAATGATAAAATTCTACTTATCAATCGTTTTAATATCTGGACGCATATGAATAAGAAAAAATATTCCTTTAAAATTTTTGGGATTTACGAAATAGAATAAAGTGAACTAGATACTAATGAAAATATTTGTTTTGAGAGAACTTTATTTGTATTTTCAATGCAAATTCCGAATAAATTCAATAAATAATGATTAAAAATGAAATATTGTTTTATTGAATGATAATTCTATAGACTGTGAAATTTAATTGAAAAGTGTTATCCAGAATAAAACTTTTCAATAAAAGTTAATACTGATATTAGATTTTCCAGTATCTCAAGATGTATTTTACTCAATACAAAAACACACAGTAAAGATCATCATAGATATGACATTTTGAAGTATGAGAACATTGTTACACGTTATTATTGTCAATATGTACTTATTCTTTTGTTTGTCATCTCTTTTATATGCTCATCAAAAATATCATACTTGTTCTCTTTTTTATCATTCAAAAAGAGTGATGCAAAGATATATAAAACATACTTTGACATTGTTCGATATAAATTGGCTTCTTATAGACTGAATATGATAACTAAACTTCAAGAATCTTTCAATTCCTTTGATTAATACATCTGAGCAGAATCAGTTAAATAAATATATAAACACATTCTATGCTTATTATTTATTATTTGATGAATCAAATATTTTGATTTGTATCCTTTTTGATAGGATCTATGTTTATAAAGTTTTTATAAGTTTTAGTCTATCCGTTGTTTAGACAACGTTTACAGAATAGATAATAGATAGTTTTTTAAGATGATAATGTGAGCACTAAAAAGTTAATATTATCTTTCATTGAAGAAGTGCAAAAAAAATGTCTTTTATTATCATAAGACGTAGGATATCTTAGGTCGGGATTCGACATTTTCCTGAATGGATTCGCGACAACGTGCTATCCAGGTTAGACATCCAGCTCTTCAAGCAGAACTCGATGAGCTCTATCCAATGGACACATCATTCAGTCGGTTTGACAACTCAGTCGATGAGAAAAGCGCTAATTAGTGCTTAATTAATTAATTTTTTTTTAATTAAACCTCTCGCGATCCGCTCAGTAGTGCTCTCCAACAAGGAGATATAGCTCTCCAGATAGATCTCGACGAGCCTTATCCGTCGAACACCTTCATCACTTCATTTGAGGGTGTGGATAGGGTTACAACAAATCCAATGAAGCTCTGTAAGATCAAGTGCCAGAAGGGTGCAATGAATCTGAAGCCTTCAAAATTGAAACGAAATAGTTTCGATTTGGGTATGAACTTGACTTAATTCTCAAGTAACTTGAGTACAGATGTGTGGGACCAGTATCAGTCTCAGTCCTGGTGCCGATAGCTGGGACCCAAACAAAAAGTTTACATATTATCGGAGGATGTGGGTATGGATGTGATATACACTGTACTTTATGTTATTGAATACTCATTTGAAATGTCCGTATTTTTCTTTTTTCTATCATTATCACACAGTTTAACAAACGGAAGACGAATGTATTACATAAATTTTTTAGGACAAAGTAATAAGCAATCAGATACATCAAACACGGATAGACACAAAGTGAGAATGGATGAATGTCAAGGTCAGGATTGCCAAGTTAAATAACTGAATTCATAGATGGCAGAATACTTTGACTCTACTTTTTTTTATAAGAATTTAGATTAAATACAGTTTACAACTACACCTACATCCACATCCTTCGAATATGGCTTGAATTTTGTTGAGCAAAGTTCACAAAAAACAAACGTACATCTTGATCTAGTCACAATTTGACAAGAAATTGTTAAATGATAAAAACCCAATCTGTACTTTTCATCTTTCAACAATACTTTGTTAACCGTAAAGTATGTAAATTATTGTCAAACAAAATGTAATTTCATGTTAATGGATAAATGAATTATCAACAATATTTATTGATTGAGATTTCGATCATATAAATGTTTTTTATTAATTTTATTTATTCTGTTCATAACGCTTTTAAAAAAAAACTATTTGAAGTTATGCAAAAAAAAAGAAGTACAAGAAAAAAACAAAGGTACTTATTTTAAGATAAAATAATATGTTCTTTTTTCACCGAAGAAAAAAAACCTCAAAACTTTCAATAATATACAAACAATAACAGAATGAAAATAAATTTTTGTTGTATACAATAAAAACAAATTTTAAATAAATACATCTAGATGTGTACAAAAATAAAATTTAAAAAAAAAACAAACAAAGAAATAATTGTTAATTGTTCTGATCAAATTGATTTGTTAAAAGAAATGAAATAAGTGATGCTTTTTGTGCATCAAACGCTTCAAGTTGTTGTAAATAATGTAATTGATCTGTTTGTGTTATTGTTGATGAAGCTAAAATAATTTAAATAATGTGAAGCAAAAAAAAAAAGGAAAGATATTATCTCACCAAGAACAGCAATTACATTTCTTGTCACACAACGAAATGCATTTTGTAAATGAATAATAATTGAATTTCGTTGAGCAACAAGTGTACAACGTTCAAATGAATCTTCAACAGCTGTTTGAATTATTTCATAATACACTTTACGTTGACGAGCAACCTACATTTTAAGAATTTGACTTATTAAATAATTATCTTTAAGTTTTTAGTGACTTACTATACATAATGAATGAATTAATTGAGCATATTCTTTATGATAATTTTTCATCTAAATAAAATACAATAACGTAAAACTTTGTGCGACTCGAACTATACGAATCTCGTTTATTAAATAAACTCAGAATAGACATGAAATTTCTTCCTGACCATTTTCTGATACAAACTTTTGCTCTTGAAATATTAGCGACTTCAATATTATTTATATAATCTTAGTTTTTTATGAACTAGCAATACAATCCTCAAAACATGACAGAAATACATGTAAAATTATTTTCTGATTCTAAGCATCTGCATATTTTACGTCAAAATCGAATTTGATAGCATTCTAATAGTTCATTTTTCCATAATCTTAATCGATACTCATATTTTCCTAAAGACAACAAAAACAATTCTCTCTGCTACAAAGACTAATATCCTTCCTTTCGACTACCTTACGTTGTAGGATGTTATCTAACGACAAATCTATTAGCCCGATATCTTTCCTACATCTAATACAAGCTCTAGCTCTAGACAAAAGGCTATCCTCACGAAGAGTTCTTGTGCTGCTCATACTCAGCATACTATCAAACGAATGATTCGAGATAAACAGTCGTTGGTAATCTGTCCAGAGTCATTCTATAACGACTATTCTTTGTTATGCTTGCCGAGAGTACAAATTTCTAAGCAGAATGGGATATTGATGATATTTCTTTTTTTGAAACTTATTATTCTAACTTACAGCAAAAGCAATTAATACATTTGTTAATAATTCTCTGCCACAATAGAATAATAATTCAGCAACATATTCAGATTTCCATGACATTGGTTGTGCTAAAATTAACAAAATATTATTTTAAATATATCGAAATTTTTTATTACCAATAAGTTCATTTAATAAAGCAAGTTTGCTATTACTATTCCATGCTTTTTGTGCATGGGCTGATCGATTAAGTACACTAAAAGCACGACTTAAATCAAAATAAGCTTGTTCTTCATCAACATTTGGATAAGTAAAATAATTTGATCGATCACGAGAAAATTTTTCCCAATCAATTTTATCTTTAAATAAAATCAAATAAATTGAATATATTTTTTTTTAAATTTTTACTTAATGACATAGGTCCAAATAATAAATAAATAAGTCGAGCTTGAAACCAAATCGGTTGTTTATAAAGAATAACATTTAGTAAACAACCACGATGTGCATGAAGTCGAATCGAATCAAAATAAACCAAACGAAAACAAAAACGTATTGAATGTTCAAGTTGAATTTCGATACCGACTAATAATAAAAAACAAGAACTGTTTTGGAGTAATAATCAAATGATAAATATATATACCATGTTCACATGAATAAAATCGATCAATTTTTTTCTTTAATTGTAAATATGAATCTAATTGAGAAAATGCCCAAGCAATTTCTCGTTCAGACCAATGTCTTGTTGCTTCACCAAAAAATCGACCAATATGAGATAAATCTTCAATAGATGAACCATCATCCAACAAGTTCAACTATTCAAAAAAAACCAACAAGGATACACAAGTCCGATTGTCTTCTGAAAAGAATCGAGGTTCTTAGCTTTTTACTGCAATTTAACAAGTATAGTTTCTTGCAAGTCTTCTATCTCTTGTCACTGTTCTTACTTTAGAGTAGAAGCGAATGAAAAATTCTGAAACTATCGTGGTGAACTACTCTCGTTAAAATATTCATAGCTCATCTAATCCTTATCCTGCAGGATAGGATAGGATTTACGCTACATATTTCTAAGTTAACGTCCTGTTTCGAATTAAATAACAGATCTAAGAAAATAGCATATTTCTTTGAATTTTCAACCCACGATCAAGTATTTATAGACTCTTCTCGATTAACACTAACTTATATCGAAATTCTTACCTTTGTAAAAAGTACATCTTTTATAATTTGTATTCGACGCGAAAGTGGCACCAAACTTGTCATTAAACCATATAATCGACCTAGTAGTTATTGTTTTTAATATTAAAGCTTATTTCTTTTTTTTTTTTTCTTATTTACCAAGATTTTCCCAAGCTCCTGATCGACGACGATCTGGTGTTGTTTCCAATATTAATTTAAGATAACGAGTACCCATTGATGATCGTAGAAAATTTAATATAATAGAAAAATATTCATTACTTGTATTAGCTAATTGATGAAGTTCATGTGCTAAACAATAAAAAAAAAGCATATAAATATCTAATTGATTATTAAGAAAAAGAAGGAAACAGACGAGATAATTTTAATAAAATTAAATCACGTATTTCAATTGGTATTTGACTAAGATAACAAATATCAGATCGAACTAATGATGGTCTTAGATTAAATGACCTAGGAAAAAAAAAACGATTTTTATTGGTTAAATTAAATTTCGCTCAGTTTTTTTTTTAACTTACATAAATTGTAAAAAACGTTTTTTTGTTGGTAAGGATGATGATAATGGATCATTTATAGAAAAATATTTACGTTTTCCGCTGATACTCATCATGTTGTTAATGATAAAAAAAAACGATCCGATCGATTAATTCAACTTGGACGGAAAATTTTCTTGTATAATAGTCAAATATGTTCATAATTATCTATTCATTGACAATTAACGAATAAACTATTTAACTAAAATTAAATTTTGATTTAAGTTCTAAAAATTATTTATTTTAATATATAAAATGAATAAATTCATGTTTTTCTTTATGTAGATGTCGCTAGTTATTAGATAACAATTGTTCATCCAATCGGATGAATAAATGTTTGTCGTAAATAAATCACATTCGAAAAAATAAAATAGATTGTTCTCTTTTCACCAAATTATAAATAGTCCTAATGTTAAACATAAAATGTTTATGATTGATGCAGAAAAATCCTTCATTGATTTATTTTGTATGACATATGTGTTTAACAAATATATCATCGATCATGACCGATTCATCATCTTTAAACAATAAAAATGATGGGATTTTACGCGTTATTTATGATTATACAGGCAAAGAAGAAGATGAATTAACATTAAAGTATGAGAAAAAAACGAACTAAATATATGTATAAATAAAAAAATTTTTGTTTGTTTTTTAAGACGTGGAAGTGTTGTAGAAGTTTTATCAAAAGATGAAAAAATCTCAGGTTCAAAAGGATGGTGGACTGGTAGACTTGTTGATTCAGAATCTGTTGGTATATTTCCAGCAAATTTTGTTGCTAGTTTTGAACCAAATTTACGTGTTATTGAAGAAAAAGATTTACAAATTGGAAATTTAATTGGTAGTGGTGGTTTCGGGTAAGAAATTTAATCGAAGAAAAATACCTCAATTCTCAATTAGATTGTTCTTATTTTTCAATAATAAAAGTTTACAAACTTTCTTTTTTAAAAAAGAAAAAAAAAAAAAAAATCAAAGACCTTTGTATAAATTGATCATATTTTTGCAGTTTGCATATTTTGAAAGTTCAATATAATTTGACTCCTTCTAAATTTTTTGTTTTTATTAAACCTATAAAATAGTTATTGTGATTTTTCTGACATACTCTACATTAAAATGGAGGATTTTCTAAAAATTTCATTTTCTTTTTGAATAACTGGAAAAATTATCTAACGACCTAAAACGAGTATGGAAAAGTATAGGAATAGAAATTTAAACACTTCTCCACAAACCCATACATCAATAATGTATCGCTATAATATAAGAATTTATTTATTACATTCTTGAAAGATTAAGTAATAGGATGAATGAAGAAATGTATCTTAAAATAGATAGAATAACACAATCTTCCTGTGATTAGCAACAACAGTTACATTCTGTTTGATATTTTAATCTTGCAGATGTTGTATCAATAACTTTTTTTTCCATAAGTATCATTCTCAAAAAAAAAAAAACAGTTACTGAATTCTAATTTGGAAATTTAATGATGATTAGTGATCAGCACATTTCAATTCAAGTGTTACTATTTAAAAGTTCCCTAATGATTCAGAATCACAACATTATGTTACAGGGAATGTGAATGAGCGTATGGTTAGTCTATGATAATCATAAAATGTAGATACATAATGTCAAAAAAGTATCATTTTTTATGCGCTAATAAAATCTATTCATACAGAAAATAAATTAAATATTTTCTATCTTGAAATAATCTAATAATGAAACACATAATGTTTTTCTATTTTAGTCATGTTCATTATGGAAAATTTGGTGATACTGATGTAGCAATAAAAACTGCAAAATCTTTAACAGCATTTAGTTCGATTGATACACCATCATCAAGTAAATCTAATGATGATGAATCATTCGATGGTGTACAAAGAAAACTTATTGATGGACTTTTACGTGAAGCATGTCTCTTTTCTAATCTTCGACATTCAAATATTATTAAATTATTTGGTGTTAGTCCATCAATATCAAGAAGAAATCTTTATCTTGTTATGGAATATGCACATGGTGGAGCATTAAATTATCTATTACAAAGAAGAAAATCTGGTCTATATCCAAATGTATTTATTCAATATGCTAGACAAATAGCTGATGGAATGAAATATTTACATGAAGAAGCACCAGAACATATTATTCATCGAGATTTAAAATGTTCAAATGGTTAGTTTTAAAACAAAAGCAAAAAAAAATATATTAAATTATTCACTTTTTTTATTGTTTTTCTTTATTTTAGTTCTTATTATTGAAGCACTTGAAAATATTCATAATGATAGTGAACTTTTAAATAAAACATTAAAAATAACAGATTTTGGTCTTGCAAGAAAACAAATACAATCATCAAGCATGTCAGCTGCTGGAACATTTCCTTGGATGAGTCCAGAATGTATTCGTAACAATGAATTTTCAACGAAATCTGATGTTTGGAGGTAATCATCATCATCAAGAAAAATATACCATATTTGCAAGTTTATTTCGAATGAATAGATTTTTCTGTCTTATCTTACAAGAAAAATTTCATTTGGGATTGATTAGAGATGTATGAGACCACGTTTGTTTTTTTTTGGGATATAGTTTTTCTGATTTATTTATTCCATGACAAGGACTTTTTTTTCAATCATTTCTCTTGCAAGAAAAGATGATTTGAGTCAAGTTATTGTTGTCATTTTCTGTTTATTTTTATGAAGAACAATATAACAGCAAGTTTTTTATGTCACGATACCTTCTTCCTAGTTTTTATTTACGAAAACAAAATAAGAAATCTTACACAAAATAACATGATACAACTACTCTAGCCTTATCAGCAGAGTAAAAGCAGTAAAACATTAGTTGTTATAAATAAAAAACTTTAAATTTAAAAATTATTTACAAGCAAAAAAAAAAAATATTTATTAATAGTAAAAATTACGTTTTTATTGAGTGAAAAATAAAATCATTAGTTAAATTTTTTTCCTACAAAAAAAATCATCCATGTCTTCTGAAACTAATTTTGCTGTTGAATTATCACTTTTTATTGTTTTCAATGAATGACTTACACTTGATTATTCCGGCTGTCTTGAATTATGTTCTAATTGATGATTTACTTAAAACCATATAATATTTCATTATAATCTTTAGTTTGAGTTGGAACAACTTTTGTGTTGTGATCCAAGTCTCATTGACCGGGATCGAAACTAAACTTAGTTCTGTACATCTCTAGTAGTGATGCATTGATTTACCATCGTTGTCATATAATCAATATTCACGTTTGTGAGTCTGTCGAAATATAAAAGAGTATGTTGAATATCTGCTGTAGATATAATGAAGTAGTAGTATGATAAGACATATGAATTTCACATTGATCCGAATCGTGCGTTCAATTGTAATTATAAAATGTTTCAATACTGTTTTTATGCGTTGAATCCTAATATGTTTGTCTTGTAATATCAGCTACAATAACGCCCTGTTATGTACTCACATAACCTTATGCATTGGGTCAAAGAATGCAGGATACGAGAATTTGTACTTTGTACTCTGATACATGCAATCTTATCTTCCTTATGAATTGGATATAGGTGAAAAGAATACATATATTCCTGATAGAAGTGTATGAATAAATCAAAGTGCTTAATTTTTAAATGTACATAAAAAAAAAAAAGGATAATTTTATCTTCGAATGAAATTGAAATAAGAAATTACAGATATGCATAAGCATTTTCAAAGGTTTATACTGTTCTTAAAATCTCTGTTTTCTTTTTCGTATGTAAAAGAAATGATTATTTTATCTAAATAATTTTTAGTTTTGGTGTTCTTCTTTGGGAATGTCTAACAGGAGAAATTCCTTACAAAGGTTTTGATCAAATGCAAGTTGCTTTTGGTATAGCTACTAATAGATATTCTCTACCTATACCAAGTACATGTCCAGAAGAATTTTCACAATTAATGAAAGGTTTATTATCAATTTTTGTCTTTATTATTTAAATATATATATGAAAATAAATCGCTTAGATTGTTGGCAACTTGCTCCACAAGATCGACCAACATTCAGTGAATTATGTGAGCAAATTAATAAAATTATTGAAATTAATTATACAAATAATCAATTGAATAATATGGAACCAAATGAAGAAACTTATTCATCATTACAACAAGATTGGCGTAAAGAAATTGAAGATATTTTTGAAGAATTAAAAACTAAAGAACAAGTGAGAAAAACATAGACTATACAGAACAAAGCGTACATAAGAATGCATTTCGATTCCTTTTGATTTTCAAGTTCCAATATAATTGAGTCATATATAAAATTAATTTATAATAAAATCGTTCACTTAAAATATTATTTTGAATTTATTAGGTGGTATATAAATCTCTTACATTTTGACTTTAAAAGATTCCATTCATCTTTTAATTATTCTGTTAATGAAATTTCCTTCATACTTAGTCCCAGAGTTGTAACCGGTCCTGTCTGGCCGGTTTTTATTTTCTACTATTTGTCTAAACTTTTTTAATCAAAGTTTATTTCATTTCATAAAAAACACAATCAAAACTGTGTTACTTGGAATAAAGCTCTCAACTTATCTCATTGATGATTTGTTAGAGGCTAAATTTAAGGTTGAATCGTCGTTTAAAGAGAAATATAGATTTTTTCTGTAAAACCCAAGTGACAAAACTCAAGATTTGCAGATTAGCAATCAAGTATTGGGTACATAAGTCTTTTTTCTCACAAAATAAACATCGCATATTCATCTTTAGGAAAATTGACCGATATAAACGACTATAACATCATATTTTCTCTTAAAAATCAATAAAAACCTAAGCAAAAGAAAATACGAAAATGAGTTCTTTTTTTTAAGCCTCTCCTTATAACTGCCAGTAAATGAGCAAACAAACAGATCCATTTTTACCAGTCTGAAAAGTTTTTTTTAGACCCATCGGACCGGACTGGTGTAAAAATTTCCGAACGCTTACAACTCTGCTTAGTCCACTTCGCTATCAATAGAACTCTTCAAATGCAACACAAATAACAACTTTATGCGGTCATAAAAAAGTGAATGACTTAACAAAATCCTTAGTCCAAACAAATATCACACGTCTTAGAGATCAGTTAAAAAATGAATTTAATAAAAGCCATTATTTTATAGCTTATTCGTGCAGACCGTTGTCTTCTAATTACATTGTACAAGCTTAGAATTTGCTTTCCACTATCCAGATGATCTTATGATTAAACTCATTTTTTGACTGATCTCTGAGAGAGAATATTTGGCCGAAAAAAAACATTTTCGAACTCAGACTTGATCGAATCCACTGAGCCTGAGCTGCTCGGGCTTGATACAAGCTTAGATTGAAGCAATAGAAATTTTTTATACGATCAAGTGGATTTGAAACATTATTTTGAGTGACCAATTTTATTATAAAAATATATTTTGAATAAAGTTTTATTAGAATAACTTTGAATCACTGTTTATCTTTATTTATTTTTTGTCAAATGAATGTTTACATTATTGGTTAGTATCTATAACTAACTGCCTTTTTAATATTCATAAAGATAGACTCTGTTCAAAGTTATGATCAGGAACTTATGATCTTTCATTCAATATATAATTAGATTGAACTTTGAAAATCAAAAGTAGCCGAAATGTTTTTTTTTTTTATTTATGTCTCGATCGTTTAATTTCTTTTGATTTTGATTTTTCGTTTTAAGGAAATTCGTGATCGTGAGCAAGCAATGCTTCAATTAACAATTCAACAAAGTCATCAACGAATGCGATTACAAAAATGGGAACAAGAATTACATGAACGTGAAATGCAAATTATTGAACGTGAACTAAAATTATTAATGTCAACTGATAATCAAGAACGTCTCTATCAACAAACACCAAAAGTACAAAAACGTTCAGAACATTTTGGACGTGCACTTATACATGCAGCACTTAATGGTTCTTCTGCACTTTCAACAACTACTGCTGCAAATTTAATTAGTGCTCCAACAAGTTTGCTTTATTTTTAATTAAAATTATTTTCAATTTGTTCAAATGATTGTTTTTTTTTTCTAGATTTTCGTCATTTAGTATCTATATGTCGTGAACATAATTTACATCATTATCCAGCAATTGATTGTGATTCATCCTCAACTATTCCTAATACTACATCAGCATCATCGTCAACACAATTATCATGTTCAACAAATAATATACTTTCATCAAATTCAACAACAAGACTCTTAGATTCTGATTCATCCAATGCTCAGCATACTGCACCTGATGCATATACAAGTCATAGTACACCAACAACACCGAATTTAAGTCGACTTCGAACATTAACCTGTACGTATTGCAATTAATTATAAATTCTAATTTTTTTTCTTTTACTTTAAAATAAATTTTTATAATAATTAATTAAAAGAATAGCATATATATATATATATAAATATATCTAAGACAAATTCTATATTTTCTAGCAAGTGGAGATCTTATTATAAATAAAATTGATGATGAAGAACCTCTAATAATCAATGATGGTAAGAAAACAAAGCATAACGGAAGGTTTCTTTCTTACATTGATGACATGCAATATAGTAACATAGGTATTTTTATATCTTTATAAAATGATTTCTCTCGCGCTATCATAATATGTTTCATATTAAATATCTAGAGAGAAGAGTTTTCATTTGCTTTCTATCACTATTTCGAGCTCACATCATATATATCATTTAGATTCATTATAGATTATATGCTTTCTTTTTCTTTTTCTCTTCTTTTTATTCTGCTCATCATAATTCTTTATTAACATTTTAATAATATATTCTTATTTTTTGCATGAAATACATTTTATCGATGATAGAATTAAGCTCTCAACAATTAGAAAAAATAAAACAAAAAATTATTTTTTTTTTTTGTTTATTTAATTCATTATAAGAAAATACAAAAAAAAACGCATATTTTATTTTTAGTTCATGCTCCAATTATATCTGATGAGTTTGATAATAATACAAATGAAAAACTTCCTGAAAAATCACGTTCTTCATCAACTAGTCAAACTAAAATAGTATCAAAACTAAAACATCCACATTGGCATAAGGCTAAAGCATGGTCGCCATCATCATCAACAATAAAACGAAAACCTGGAAAAAGCAATGCACGTCTTGGCGAATCTAAATGGTATATAGAACCTCTATCATCTATGAATTCAAATAATGATACTACAACAATATCGAGTACAAATTCAACTCCAACTATTGATCGATCAACACAACAATTAGGTAAATAAAAATAAACTAAAATTATCTTTCTTTTTTTTTCTTTATTCTAATCGTATCATTCATTGTTTTTATGGTTTCAGAAAATCCCAATGAAATAAGTAAGCTTTAAAAAAAAATTAAAGTATATCAACTAATAATTTGCATTATTATTATTTTTTCATCTAATATTCATTCATACAGAAACAATTGATCATTGTTAAAATACTTCGTACGCAAAGACTTTTCTATTTCTTGGTCTTCTTCTTAATACATAGCTATAAAATAGCATTAAATTAACACTTAGATTTTAGTTCTTCTTCTTCTTCTTCTTCTTCTTCTTCTTTTCACTACTTCATATAATACTGATTGATTAAGAGCACCTCGGAGAAATTTTCATTTTAATATCCATTTCAAAATATATATTTGTTACCACTTATGAATGAATTACTTGAACTGACTCTTGTTGTTTGAACTCACAAGGGAGCCTCGATATAACTAGAAAAAGCTGTTTTTTTGTTCCAAGCTTAGTTATTTACTGAAAAATTAAATAATGAAATTTTGACCTGAAATTTTCTAAGAACTATTAGATTTACCAATGCGTTGCTTTCGTTTTGCAGAGAATTTCTCAAAATGGATTGAAAATTAAGTAAAATGGATATAACTCGGCTCTAGAGACCTATGAGCACGAAACCTCTTGGGATTTTTCTAGACTAACTGAGATCTCCTTATAACATTTATTATTTTGGGATTTATTTAAACCAACAGATTTATCGGAATTTATTCATTGATATCATAGATGTTCATCACAGCTGGAAATCTGTCATCGACTCGCAAACTTCTTCGAATAGCTCTTCCACCATTGTGATAAATTAGTACAGTTAGATTGAATCCATCAGATCCACTAGGATTCTGACTGTTGAATTTGTAAACACTCAAATTGAATATAAATATATGCACTTTTAAAGTCTTCCTAAAAAAACTGTTGTAATAGTATTTTTGAAGCATCTCCTGGACCACGATGATTTTAAAAAAAAGTGTTACTATGAACGTCTCTGACTGCTATCTATAATACTGTTCGTCAACCTTAGTGAAGTGCCTGTCCTTAATCTCATGTCTTCCATTTGAAGATATGATGTATCAAGGAGTTTATAGAAAAATCTTGGCAGTTGTTAGTTTATGATCGAGCATATATCATTTGAGGAAGATAAAATGACTGATTTATTTTGATGAATATTGTTAACAAATATCATATTATTTCGAAATGGATTCTTAATTTGCTTATTTTGCACGTTAAAACATCATTTGTTTTAGTTAATTTAACAATTTAAATTCACTGATATGCTTTTTGTTTTTCTTCGCATAGATTCCTCTTCTTCTTCAACATGCTCAACACCAAATGATCGTTCATTACTTCGTGGTATTTTTGATATTAATTCTATGTTAATTTCTATTGGACTTGGTCGACCTCCACCTGCTCGATTGAATTTTTCCGAATTTATCTTATCTACACCTTCTTTTTATACTTCATCATCTTCTTCTTCCACTACAACAATAAAAAGCATTGTTAATAAAACAATGCTTCGTTCAACAAGTGAAACAGCAAATGGACAAAATCCATCACTATCATCTTCGACTAATACAACTCCATCTCCATTAATTAAAAAACAACATAAACGAGCTTGTTCATCACCTATAACAGATACTCTTGCTCAAACAAATGGATCTCCAAACATGGGTTATCGAGCAGGACCTTGTTATTCAACTATTCGACCTAATTGTCTTATACTTTCTTCTAAACCACCAGCATTATCTTCAGCGATACCAAATATCAGTCAATCGGATTCACACTTAGTTGATAGTCACTTTAGTCATAGAAATGAAACTACAACAATAAACAATTCAAAACAAAAAAATAAAAAAATAACTCATAATAATAGTGAAACATTTCGTTCAACGCAATCATCTGAAATATGTCCACCAATGACACACTCAATTATTTCATCATTGAATATGTCGACTTCTCAACCACAATTAAATTTTTCTCATATACTTGATATTGATAGTGAAGAACAAAGACAACATGAAGCCGGAGTTTTAACACCAGACATTGATAAAAAAGAAGTATATGAATCACATTAAGATCTTGAAGTAGATTTTTTTCATTAAAAGATTTCTTCTTTTTGTTTCTTTTTTTGAAGTCTTTTTTTTTTCCTTTGTTTTTAACTTTTCTTTACTTCTGTGTTAAAAGTATATATAGTGCCATTTCTATATTGTATTATTATGTGTATGTTTATCTATGTATGCATGTTCTTCGACTCTTTTGTAATTGTATGTATTCGTATTTCAGCTAAAACTTTCTCTATTTTGACTTTAATTATTCGAAGAAAAGAAAAAATATGAATAAAAAGCCACTATAATATATTTCTTGGATGAGTAGTTTTTCTTTTTTTGTGTGTGTGTGCTATATTTTCTGTTCATAAAAACACTATTTATATCTTTTTTTTTGGCATGTATATAAACGGAATGGAGAAAAACTGAATTAATATTTCAAATTATTGATAATAATATTTTACGGCTCTTTGAATTATTGTGACACTCAAATAGATGATGTATGTGTGTTGAATGATCGAAAATAAGAAATTATCAGGTTGTTTTGTACAATAGAGGGATACTGATTAACTCTGAAATTTTAGATTTGAGTAGTCTCTGTGCAATATATTTAATAAATATTAAACACAACCGACAGATTCAAACTAGTTTGAGATGTTGTAGAGAGTTCTAAATTGACTATTTTTACAATAAACAATTAAACTATGGTTGAAATATATTGTGCAATTTAAATAAAATAACAAAGTCGAATCAGTTATATAATGATAATTATTATTTCTATCAGGTTCTACTGAAATAAATATTGTTCATAATAAACATAAAAGGTCGTTACTTAGGCTATAAATATGCAACGCATTCAATTTCACATCTGATCAAAAACTGAATTAGTCTGGATTTTTTATGACTGATATTGATATCGATCTGAGAATAGAGTAGACTGAACTGGATCAACCAGTGTAAGAACGGTGACCGTCTAGTGTGATATCTGTATCAGTACCGGTTCCGTCTGTGCATCTGATATTAAAAAGTAGACTTAATTGAATCAAATATTAGTCTCACGAAATTGTCAAGTTATAAAAAATATCTATAATTTAAACACGTATTATTTATTTTCTTTAAAACCTATTATCATTTAATAACACTGACGCCTAAAAACGTTTTTTCTTCTCGATTTGGTATTTGATTTAATTATTAAATTACATTGTTTGATGATGGTAACACTGAAATGGAAGCACTTTCATATTTGAGCAGCGTGAAATGTTTCAAACACATGAAATCTTTCTTAGTATGGCCAACTCGAAAATGTTAGTAGAATACATCTTTAAATATGAATTAGTAAAAAAAGAATTCTTCAATTGGATATCAATCGATGGAAGAAGCACAACCCTTTTAATATATGACTTTCATGAAAATGTTCGATAAATGAGAACTGAGACAATGTGCTCACAAACAATCTATATCGTTTAGTTCATGTTCGTAACAACATCAGCATCTTTAAATAGAACTTAACAAGCTCTATCGAACACAGTCATTTTGAATATCGTTTTATGAAACTATAGCTTTGATTTTTTTTTCTGAAAATTACTGATGATGAATATCTTTTGAAGAATTCAACTCGAACTGAAGCAAAGCCAATTAAATTTTTATTGATAGGAGATCTGACTGGTCTTTATCGATGATAAAAATTCCAGTGAGTATACAAGTGTCATAATGTGAAAAAGACGAGATATCGTAACACTTGATCACACCGAGTGGAAACATGTGTTATACAACATAAGACTGCTACCCACGAAAAAAAAATTTCAGAAAAACCGCGGTTTTTTCAGATGCCGGAAGTTAGACCATCTATGCGTTTCTTTAAAACCGCTCAAAATTGCGGTCTCAAAAACCGCGGTTTCGAGAGGTTTCAAAGAAACGCATAGATGGTCTGACTACCGATATAATAGAAAACTGCTCAAAACCGCGGTTTTTCCAGACCCACTAGAGTGAACCGACTCCGGCATGCCGGCCATAACTTGTAACCTGAAGCTTTCAGGCATGGTGCCCTTCTAGGGGCAGTGAAGTGAAATCTCTCGAGCTCCATTTCCACAAAGTAACTTTCTAGAGTCAGTTGAATTATCTGTGTAATGATCGAAAAATTTGGCAAAAAAAAGTGGGGCACGCCATCCTGAGTGTCCTTACACATTACGTTACACGTCGATATGCACCACGGTTTCCTGAATCGCGGTTCTGTCAGTGACGAACGTGGTTTTTAAAACCGTGTCTGCCAACGGTGTAGCACATCACGGTGCGGATACGTGAAACCGTTACTAACCGCGATATAGAACTCGGCGATCTCGCCACAGAAAATCGCGTTCCTTCTAGTTATACCGTGGTGCAATGATAGAACCGCAATGGACTTTATTTTTTTAAAGTTGTCGTGGATTACTTTTAAAATAAAATGAGTCTTCTACCATATGAATTCTCTTGAAACAGTCTGCATTAACAATCATTCATTTTTATTAATTTATCGAATAATTAACACTGTTTTTTTGTGATTCCACTACAATCACTTCTCAACAATAAGAGATTAAAAAATAAATAAAAGCTGCAGTATTTTTTATCAGTCGATTTGTGAAATTTCTAGGACGACAATTTGCAGATGAATTGAAAATCCTTCTANAATCATTCATTTTTATTAATTTATCGAATAATTAACACTGTTTTTTTGTGATTCCACTACAATCACTTCTCAACAATAAGAGATTAAAAAATAAATAAAAGCTGCAGTATTTTTTATCAGTCGATTTGTGAAATTTCTAGGACGACAATTTGCAGATGAATTGAAAATCCTTCTATTGTACTACATCAAGTCTCTTCTGGTATATCACTTTAATATAAAAATGATAATGAACAGATGCATTTCAAATTAATAGAGATTTTGTTAAAACAAAATGAAAAGTCACCGCGATTATAATACAGAATACCGCGGTTTATAAAACCGATAATAACCGCTATAATAAAAACCGTGGTTATGAGTGCACACACCGCGGTTTACATTGGTTATCCACATGACACCGCGGTTCTCTACGATGCAACCGCGGTTTTCCTAAAATAATTTTTCCGTGGGTATACTGATAGTATCATGAGTGAAGATTTATGACAGAAACAACTGCAGCAATGATTTTCGTCATATTGCAGAAAAATATCGAAATGCAATTAAGTTATTGGTGAAAAAACAAAATAAAGATAATTATTTCTTTTTAAATAAGTGATTGTTTATTAAAAACTGCCTTTTATACAATGTTACAGTCTGAAGTGTATATATTAGAGTCTTAAATTACAAAGTTCAAAAAATGTTACAATGATAACTCAAAATGATTCAATAAAGTAACTATGAAAAGAGTTTTTATAAAACCTATCGAATCATTATTTAGCGATCGATGGATATTCAACGATTGATTCTGTATGCGACTAAGACGACTTTTGAGAAGCCAGATCTTTAATTCCATCAAGTCCTTTTTTGGCTATATAGTTGGCAATTGATTTGGATGCAGTGTAAACGTAAACGATGAATCTCTATGGTTTTTCATTTGCACTATTAATGATAATAATCTGAACCACGCAACTTGATTGATAATTCAGATCTCTGGTAAAACTGTGATGATAGTATAAATGTTGATCACAAACATCAACTTCCAGCTCTATGTGAAATTTGAAAAAACTTAACAACGACATTCAGAAGCAATAATACAACAGTATAATTGCTGTATGCTATCGACAAGAAGAGAATTAGTACTATTCAGATCTTCTGTCAGTGTTTTATACAGTATATCATGACGTGTCATTCATGCTAATTAAGTCCATATAATTGTATACTATAGCAGATAAGTTTCAAATGACAATGGTTGAATTGTAATGAAATATTCCAGTTCGATAACTTAATAGTAAGATAGTTAAGAGTAAACAGTTTAGTTGATGACGAAAAGAGAGATATTCATTAGTGAAAAGATAAAAAATGCACTTGTAATTGCCGTTGAAATTGATTGTTTTTATAGAGGATCCACAAACCGGAAGGCAGTTGATGAAACAGACTACGAATAAAGAACTGAAAATCTTTATTTTCCGAAAAGGCTATCATCCGACATTGCATGGAAGTTAAGTTGTGGGATAAAAGATGCGCGTAAATAATTCGTACTTTGTTGCTTCGGCCAATAATCTTGTTAAGTTTTCTGATACATTAGTACACTATTATCTACAATTACTAGTGTTTTTGTTTGCTTCTGAAAAAAACAAAGAAAAACATCAGTTAGCTATATTATATTCTTGCGAATAGCATCCATGACAATCGTCTCAGAAGATATTAGTAAGCTAATGTCATGTTTCTTTTAGATTTTCAGATAAAAAAACTTTATACTTTTCCTATTGGTCATCCAAAATAACGAATCAATTGGCTCCGATGAAAGTGTTTAATTTTCATTCTACAAAAAATACCGTTAACGAAAAACTACACTAGTCAATGGCAGCACCTTTTTTACTATTTTGAGCTTACCGGCATTTAGAAGTTGTGATTCGATAACCTAGTGTAATGATGTTATTGCATGGAAACAGCTGGGAATTGTTAAGAATAATTTCAATTTTCGAGGTAAAGGCAGTTCGAACTACAAGATGGATTGAAAAGGTATTGTCCTCAGATACCTTGCTATTGAAGATGTTGCGACATTGTGCGATAAGCTGCACTTCAGTATAATTAAGCAATAGACTGCATTGAAGTTGTATCAGTGAAAGCGAGCTTATTTAGCCATACTGACGGTGACTACTTGACACCAAATAGAGATTGACGAGTCTCAAGATCGAATTATGGTAAATTTATCAAAGTTAGAATCAGTATGAGCTAATGCACTCGTAGTTTTGGTCCATTTAACAGCACCACAAGTATTAATACATGCATATAGAAAATGAACAAATTTCTACGTTTATTGATTTTAATTCATAATTAGGTTATAGACAAATTTTTTGCTGTTACAATACAATTAAGAAGGTTGCTAATT